TTGTTTTATACAACTATTGAATAAGTTATTATACGAATATGTATTCTGCAATTTATTTGATCCAAAAACTTTTTTTTTTTTAATAACATAGTAAGTATATTTAGTGTTATTATAAAAACGTCTATACAATGCACGGGTTAGGTTATCTAAACCTAATACGGTCCAGGACAACTTTATTGAATTTTTCAACCGCGGGCTAAAGACGTGTTTGAACTAGACAATAGTTGGTATTTGCTATATAGGAAATAATATTATTATTATTACTGTTCGAAAGCTAATAATGTGCACGGTTATGTAAACTTTGAAAAAAAAAAAAAACAAAACAATTTACGAAATGAACGATTGAATTTCTATTAAGTATTATACCAACCGAAATGTCATTTAAGATACTGTACGTGCTCGGATAAAATTCACTACCATATTATGTACCAAACACTTACACAGTAAAAAATCCAGGAAGCAATAGTCTCCACCTATGAACACCGTAGTATTGTGATAGATAATAAAGATAGATAAGCTGTTCTTACCTTATCAGTGTTCCAAGAATAATTCGTAAAAAAAGGGTAGGTTTTTCTTTAATAAATTTTTATCCATGGTGATAACTGATAAATCGCCTCAGATTTCCGTCCCACTGGGAATATCATCTAACGTAAAACTGTTATAGAATTGGCCTATATTTTTTTATTATTCATGAGTAGGTATATAGTATGCTTTTTTCTTGAACTGCAGTAAAAGTGGCTGATATATCCTAGTTCCGAATAGGGGGGGGGGGGGGCGATTTTAAAATCCACAATGCTCATGGGATTTATTCCTTCCAGTGATTATTTCAGACCTTCATCCCGTGTAGGGTATCGTAAATTTCCAAAGTTTCCCATATACCTATATAAATTCTTAAGTATTAGGTTGTGATAATATTATACTAGTATGGTGGTGACGATAATCTCAAGGGAGGGGGGGTTATCCACCAATTATCCTCCCACCGATATTCATCACTGTGTGGTAAAATATATATCAATTTTCGTTGTTGTAAATGGTTTTGTCCTGCCCCCCTCCCAAATCAAGGTCTAGATCCGCGACCGTACTTAAATTGCATACGTGTGATTGCATCAAAATTATTCGATCATAATTTATCGCGAAACTCAAGTACGTTAAAACAGGTTCATTTCCGAATATTCGCGTTATTTGGAATTTTTTTCAAATCAATAAAGATTTCGTATTGCCTAAAAACAATACAATGTTGACCAAATTGTTGTAATATTATTCTACTAATATGTAGAAAATAATTTCTAATCAACAAATGCTATGTATTTAAATAATATTGTATTATTTTTTTATTTATATTACGTATTTTTGGTCAAAATTGAGCTGTATTTTGTTTATTATGTAATCTTTTTATTTGCGTCTTATACCCGCTACTTTTGTACACTTTTAGCAGCTCCCTCTGAAGTGCGAACCAAATCAGCTTAAACTCGGCAATTAAGAGCTAATAGCGGGCGAATAGAAGTGATAAAAGTTGGGTTGAATTTCGCCATGTTGCTGCCGGAGGAGAATAGTGTTTTAGATTTGAACATCTATAGGTTTCCCCTCTCAAGAGGACACATTTCGTATACACATAACGTTATTACCGATATGGATGTGCTTTTTGAGATTTCAACTTTCCGCTTTCACATTTACACCATTTTTATGCTCAAATTTTCCTTTTATTTTTTTTCTCCGAAGTAGTAATATTATATAGTATGTATTTTAGCTTTTAGCTTCTGTATTGTTTCATAATGAACATTTATATAATACAAAATATACGGCAATAATTTGAACTTCAGTGACGGAATTCTGCTGCTCACGGGTGTGTTTTTTATTTCTATCGACTAGATAACGGTTTTATAAATGAAATCATCTAAATAAATAATTTTGAGCTTATCGCACATTTTCGACTTTTCGCACGATATACATTTCGTGTTAGACTTATTATAACATCCGCAGTTGGCGTTACACAGTATATGTATATACATTCCGTATAACGTGCCATATTAGTAGCGGATTTTCAGTATTTTTCTGGCAGGGAACCTGAAAAATCATATTTATATAAATGGTGTCTATTAAATACTAAGATGGTTCTTTTTTCGGACGACATTTTATTGAAATTATCTCGGTGTCTGGGGAGGATCCCTGGATCCCCCCCCCCTCATAAATCCGCCAACGTGCAATAATATATATATCGCGGTATTTTTTTCGCCGCGTAATTTTATTGCAGACCCCTTGCGCACGATGACACGTTATATTTTCAATATATCGGACTTATTTTCTGGCATTTCATCGACTAGATAGTACCTATACAACAATAGGTAATTAATTATATGGTACCCGCTTACCCATAGTATTGTACGAAACGAGTAATACTCGGTTCGTTCAAAATAATCGTATAGGTGTATATATAATATTATATATATATGTATATACACACAATGTACAACACAATATATTGCTATTACTTGTTATCAGTGTCTGCTGCTGTTCACTGTACACGTATGCCTATATATAGGTAGGCACTCGTATATATCTTATAAAATACTTATCTGTACAATACACTTGAGCTTATAATGCGTGCCGGCGCGCTTTTAAATTACAATGATATTGCGTATATAGCTTTTATCAGATTTGGCAACACGCCTCTTCACGGTGGCGAGTGCTGTACAAAACGCGAACGAGCTAATGATCGAATATAATATTATTGCCGTTATCATTATTATTATTGTTATTATTTGTAAAATGTGTACCTATTGTTATCATAAACGATTATGGTATTTGATAGTGCGACGATTGTGTGCTAAAACATGTTCGTTGAGAAGTTTTTGAAAGTCTCTTGCACACTCGAAATTCTGTATTTTTTATGCTGGACTTTGGGTCCTTGAATTTTGGATTCCAAACTCATTTTTCGTTGAACGTGTGTCTAATGTACAATAGAATTGTATGTGTACACTATCTTGGCCAGAGGGGTGTACTATCTTGATGTAGAAAACAAAAATATGTATTCTTTTTTAAACGTGCTTGATCTGATTTATAAGGTTTTTAACCCATAAAAGAGATATTCGAGTTTCGCCCTTTTCTCGACCCATTGTTCAGATTTCAAGACAACGGATTTCTTCAACGAGTTTTGAACCGAACATATTTCACACTATGGCTTAGCCACTGTTATTACTAGAAAATGGGAAAGGTAGGACATAGTGCGCACAATTTAGTTTACACACTGCATTCAAGAATAAATCATTGAAAACAAAAAAACAATTCTGAGTGGAGAAGTATTCTTTGCTTTCTTTTTCCCTTGCTGCTTATAAAGTAATCCAAATATAATCACAAATAAAAAAAAAATCCTAGGGGGCAAACAATTGAAAATTTCGATAATTATTTTAAATTTTAACCTATATAGTAATTACTGTGAAATTAAATTTAGCATCTAGTAAAAGTACGCCATGAAAAAAACCTAAGCAAATTTTCAGGCCAAAACACTTTTTGACACATTGACATTATAAAATGTATTTATTTAGTATTAGTGTATATCCAAAAACAATTAAAAATCCATAATACTAATATTTCATAATAAATAAATGTATGAGCTTTTAACTTCACAATTTTCCATTCATTATTCATTATGATTTTTCATTATATAATGCGAAATCTATTTAGTATGTAATGATTTATTATAGAAAATCTGGTACGAATATCTGAAATTGCATATTTTTTTCTGTTTATCCAATCCAATGCTGACCCGGATAAAAATTTGATTCCTGTTTTACTGAATCAAAAAATACTATTTTTACTTTGCATACTTCATGGCCTTATATTTTAAATGCATATTTCAGTACATTTTTTAAAAACAATTTGAATTAATAACGAATTATAAAGCAAAATAGCGTACAAATTAAAAACCCCATTGTATCTCACTATAACCGTAACAGTGTAATGTTTTTATTTTAAATTAATATGCAATTTTACAAAAATAAAATATAAAAAAAACCTCTAATTAAAATTAAATACTTAAAAATTGTTAGTGCATAAATTCATACATATTACAGTTATTTTAAGTGCATAAACATCCGATTTCTATTGATAAGTATACCTTATGTTTTCAAAATATATTAAACGAGATATTATATGAAGCGCAAGATCTATACTATAATGTTATATATCAATAACTTTGAAATGACCACGAAACTTAAATAAGATTTATTATTTATTATTATGAGCTATAAATAATATTTAAAATGGGTAATAATTAACAATTCGATAAATTTGGGCACAATAATCAAATTCTTTTTCTTTTAAAGCTTATATTAGCGGTCCGTTTAGGATCATCACCAATTTCAACACACCCTTCTACTTCTCTCTCTACTCAACGCCACTCCTAAATCCAGCAAATAGTTGATTTTCTTCAGATCTCTTTTTACTGTATCGTACTATCTCTATTGAGGCCTGTCTCTTGTTTTTTTTTTCAGTGACTTTCTTAATGAGTGTGCCGCCCATTCCAACCTTTTTCCAACTTATAAATGTCATAAAGTCGATTTATTGTTCAGCTACCGTAGATCTTTATTTATTCTTCTTTGGAAACTATTTAGGTCATTAATGTGTACTGGTTCACATATTTTTCTCAATATTTTCCTCTCGAAACACTGCAGTTTTTCTTCATCTCCCTGACTGCTAGATCACGTTTTGCATGCGTTCGTCAGTATGGGTCTAATGTATGTACAGATTAGACGTTCTTTTATAAGTCTCGATAGTAACTTGGATGAGAACATTTCTCTCATTGTGAAGCAAAATTTATTTGCTACATCCAGTCTCATCCTAATTTCATTATACGTACTGTTTTTTTTTTTTGATTTATATTGATTCCCAAGTATTTGAAGGTCTCTGAAAGTAAACCTATCGATTCTGGAATTACCCTTTGCCGTTGCATTATTTGTCAACACCATATTTAGTCTTGTTGTCTAGTCTTCATTAATTGTTAGTCACATATTATAGCTAGATTTCATTAGCTTTTTTGCGTTTTCTTCAATATCATATTTGAATTCGCCCAGTAGAATGATGTCGTCTAAATAAACGAGTAGTGTATAGGGTCCTACTGTTTCCATTTCTTTAAGGTCCGGTATATCTCTCATCACCTTTTCCAGATCTAGATTAAACAACGTTGGGAACAATGCAACTACCTGTCTCAGCTCAGTCTTACTTTTAAATATTATTGATAATTCTCCTAATAAACGTACTTTAAAATAAGTCTGTTCATTGCACATCATAATTAATCGCACTAATTTATCAGGTATACCAACATTTTTTAGGACTATCCTCAGTTGTTCATAAACCATGGTTGTACGTCTGTTTGAAATCCACAAACGGCATACGTATGAAGGTCTTTATTATACTCGTAGTATGTTTCCATAATAATTTGTCTTTGTGTGTAAAGATGATCTGTCGTAGACTTTCGTTTTTTAAAGCTGCACTGGTACTTTAAACTATGTACAATTCGTATATTTCAAGTCTCCTCGAGATAACTATAGATAACACATTTCAAGTAATATATAGAAGTGCGATACCACGATAATGTGTCACCTTATATTTATTAAAATCGAATTGTTTCCCGTGAAAACATTTAAATAAATGGGTTAATCGAATCGCCTCTCGATTTTAGAATGGACATTCAATCGAATCGCTTCTAACGTCAAGTATAGATACAATCATTTTATATTCGAGTCACCTTCGATAGACTTAATAAAATCAAAAATCGATTTTAAATTAAATAAATACTATAATAACTCAATGTGCAAAATGATGGAAAATATACATAAAAAAAAAAACACACAATATACAATTACTATAATTAAATTCCCCCGTGTTTAATAATAAATATCAATAATATCGCAAAATAAAATCTAAAAATAATTAATTTTACTAGGTAGGTTTAAATGTATTCGCTAATGTTTTGATATGTTGATTTTGAAATTTAATTTGATTTTTATTTGTATAATATTAAGAGGACGCCACTTCCGCATCCATGCTATCTTTTTACAGTTCTTCTGCTTTACAAACGACATTTACATTTTTCGTTCAGTAGAACAAATGTTATGCCGTTAGTTTTAATATTATATTGATTGATCTATTACCAAACTTCTCAATAGTAAGAAAATATTCCGGGTTCTTCTGTTTCAGGTTATTATGGATATTTTAATTTTAAAACGAGATACGACTATAAGAAATATTACAAATTAAAAATGCTTGTATCTCGGTTAAAAATCAAAATATCGAATACGACCAACATACGAGTATAAGCATCAAATATGCAAGATAATGTTCTCGTCTTTAAGTTTATTAATAGGTTAACTGATTCTAATATTAAAACTAACGGCATAAAATATTTTTCTCTACAGAACAAAAATTTATCTTGAAAATGTCTCGCGTTTGTAAGACGGAGATGGTAAATGTACTTATAGAGTTGTAGTTTTCTTTTAAGGTAGTGATCAATTATACTTTATTATTTCGTTGTTGTCTGTACCATTTTTGTCGAACAATGGCATTGCGGGAGGTAATTCGAGTACATATAAGATAAGATGGACTACCTGACTAAGGAAGCGATTCGTGTGCGTTGATGAAAAAATATATTTCTAACAATTGCGATAGTTGATAACATTATAATGACACACGGGAATTATACCTAACCACCTAATATAGATTATACAAATTTCCGTTGCATATACATTACGAATTAAGATAATATGGGCTGGCAACGATATGCTATGCGGGTGTAGCGGTGCAGTCAAGTTTTAATGCGGGAAAATCGTAATTAGAATTTATATATACATGACCACAACGATTTCAGCGTCACTTTTCTGAACTAACAAATCGTATTTTATTAAAATGTGTATTATTTTAGTAGGTATTGTACTTATTACAATATTATTATCGGAACACGAGCTCCATCTACATTCGAATGTCATCTCTACGTTTCACATTGGTTAATATTATTGATCATAGGTTAATTAAAAAATAGTGCGTTAGGCTCTGTGTTTATCCCACCACGACGACAATTTATCGGTACCGTTGCCGGTTCATATTAAACGAGTTCGTGATATATACAAACGAGTCGTCAATTTTCGGGTACATTTTGAAATATCATCGGCAAACGAGGTTCGTCGATATCATACGTACAATATTATAATATGCGGCCGTACGTCTAGTAATAAAGTCGGTTAACGAGAAAAAAAATCTCGATTTAATGTTATGGCAAACAAAATTATTCTTTTGTGTACCTACAAACATGTTACAATATTTTAATGTTTCAATAACAACTTAGCAAAACGAAACCGATCGGTATTATTATTATATACAAGGTCACAGGCAGTCACACGCGCGCGGGAACGTCGTGATTTGTCGACTGAATATTATTATGAAATGGGCGATAACATTTTTTAGCCGTTTGTCGTCGGCTTTCTGTGTATTTTTTAAAACGGTTCAAGTTCCAAGGGCGAAACAAAGCGCATATACGAGTACAAGCGATTATACATTTTTTAAGAGAGTGACCAACTCTGCAGGAACACATTTCTGTTGGTCGACACGCTATCAGGTGTTTTGTGTTACTAAATTGTTTATGTGCGTGATAAATAAGTATTTATTTTTTTACTCTCGGTTAAATATTTCGTTTCTCAATCTTCTGTGGTTTTTAAAGGCCATCAAAAACTTACTGTTGTAACGCATACCTGCTTAAATCTATCCTTATCCCGAACCAACGCTTCTCCGTCTTGTATTCCAAATTCCAATGTCTATGACTATTCTTATTCCGTCTATTCTCCCGTGTTTAGGCTTATTCAGTGGTCTTTTGTCGTCGGGTCTCGATTTTAGAACTGAATTAATTATTCTATAATATTAAATATTTCATTATTCGAAATATGTATTTAATTTTTTTTATTTTTAAACGCCAAAATAGGAAATTTTGTACATGGTAATCTTAAAGTTAACTAGAAATATATGGGAGGGATGTCAGCGGCGGAGTTATCTAAGGGAAACGATGGAAAGAGCCCGGTGTGGAAAGACTAAGTAACATTGAGTACACGAAAAAGAAGGGAATTATGAAACCCATAAAAGGGGCGGCGTTGTAGCAAATGAAACAGGAAATGGGTCCTGGTGGAGTGAATATTGAATATAATATTCATTATATTTCACACTAAACATCATGGCGGATACCTAACGAGTTGGCCGCTCTCTTATTTATTTAAAGTTGCTCAAGTATATATTAAAGAGCCTACACAACCAAAGTGTGGCCAAACGTATAATGCATTATTCCGATTGGTTGATGACTCGTTATCTATATCCACTGACCGCTATTTCGTATACGAATACAGCTGTACTGACATTAACGTAAGCTTCATAAAATTAATAAACTTCGTCTCAAAATGCTATAATATCCACGTTGTTAGAATACTAGCATACAACAACTAGTGTAATCATTTGGTGACTGATTAGATGGGTCCATTCATATAAGCAATAGGCCGAGTTTGCCATTATTCTTACTACAAACCGTATACGGATATCTATTCATTATTAAATGCAGTCGATGCATTTTGGATACCTAGTTTGGATACATAGGAATCCCGGTGACAGCGCTATAGAAATCCGTATTGTCGAAGTGTATATTATAACGCGCGGGAGAATATAAAAGATTAAGATCCGAGTAATGTTATTTTATTGCGACCAGAGAAAATGTAAACAAAAAGTTTATATGCTTTATTAAAACGAATATCGGTCGACGTTTTCGCCTTGTCTATAATAATACACGTATATTATTTCGGGAGACATCTTGTTGGCCGAAATCCGGTCCGCGAGCGTTTTCCAAAGCGTTTCGAAAATCACATAAAACGTGCGCTATACAGCGCACGTTTTATTAATTTGGGAAATCGCGGCCGCGGAACACAAGGATTTCGGCCAAGAAACTTCGAACCGTATTTTATATATATATATAAAGTGTCTCCCATCGCTATATGATATCTCCTTTTCGATTTACGGACAGCGCCGAAATGTATTTTTCCGACTATTACCTATATAATATTGTACGGAGAGGTTTATTTTTATAGAGAGGTTTACTCAGGGGATCGATCGTTTATTGATACGGATTCACGAAAGCTCTCCGAATAATATCATACGTGTAACTACATCCGCGGCGGACTCAGAAAATAACGTTCCTCTATTTTTCCCGCTCGGATATTCGCGATGCAATAATTGCGTAGCGATAATCGTATTGTACAGCTAGGCGCGTGATAAAAAAAAATAAAAAAAAAAAAAACCCCCCCGAAAAAATACGTCGTTTATAATAATCATCAATCTTCCGAAAATCCTCAATATGTGCGTGGTAACTATACACAATACCATACCTATTATTATATATTGCGTTAAATATACATAATTTATCTTCGTTAACAAAATTATTGCGAACAAATCAGAATGTATTTTACCGATGACGCCTATATATATATATATATATGCACGAGTATAATAATACGTACACACCTCCCCTCCACCCTCCCCGTACGATAGTAGTATTATTTCGCCTCCGAACAATTTAAATATTCCCGTCGTCGCTACAATGTTTTATTATTTTACACATAATATTATCACGCGCATTCGAAAAAACGGTCGCGCGCTGCGTATTTTTTACGTTATAGATAATGTGTGTTTACGTATTATTTTTCTGAACGGTAAAACAGAAACAATAAATTAGGCGGTCGCGGGTGGCCGCGTGGTGGTGGGGGGGGGTCGGAGGAGGGGCGTTGAGGGGATACCGGTGAGAGTAGGGCTGCGGTAATGTTTTTAAACGTTTAAATATTTCGTGTGTATACGATTATAAAACGCACATCAGAAATACCCGTACGTACCGCAGTAACTGAAAAATGTAATTAATTTCGGTTTTGACGTCGTTTATTTATTTTACTTCGAGTATTATATGCGCGAGAAACCCGCAGAACGTTCGCCGTATAAACGCGATTATACTATGTATCATAGGTACTGCAGCAGCGTGGGCGTACAAATAAACGTCTACTTAAACGAAAAAGTAAGACGGCAATACGGCCGTGTACAACCCTCATTACGGATTATTACATGCAGCCGGCTTTTGTTTAATTTTATACAAAAAAAAATACAATACAATACAATACTTAATAACGAATAACCACTTCAAAATTTACGTATACAAAACGATTACGAGCGGAAAAAATAACAATTTCAATTTAACAAAATATCGTTCCGTATACGCGTAATCATCCATTATTAACACGAAATGCGTACGAGTATGAAAATACGCCGAAGGTCTTTTAATATTTCA